TCGCTCGAGTCGTCTTCCTCCACACCCTAGCGGCGTCGGCGGGCAGAGAATAAGATAATCCGACCTGCTTGCGGCTGTGGCGCGGAGAGAAGAACCCCCCAATCTCCCGTGTTTGCGGCGTGGAATAGGGTAGTTAAGCAATGAAGAGGAGGCCTGAAGGAAGAGACCGTGGATCCTCCGGATTGGCGGCGCATGGCCACGAACAAGGGGGCGGGCGCGGGCTACTGATCTCCTTGGCTTCCTGATGGGTGAGTATCATTTTTATGGTTTTTTCCGCTTCGATTGCTTGGTCCTTGTGATTGTGATCAGTTAGGTGTAATAGTTGTGGTTGATATAGTGTGATTTTAGATAGATAGATGTATGTGAACTCACTGTTGTTTATCTGTAGGATTGTTACAACATAGAAATCCGGATAATTACTCGCTATACTCGTGCTCGGTTGTTTAGTTTGAACAAAGTCGTCGATGCTGATCGTACCAACTTCATAGATTTGATTGCTGAAGTTGAGAATAAGTATCTTTCTGATTATGGGGATGTTATGAGATTGTTTTACTTCTGCATTGAGAGACAGATGAACATCCAAGTTTGTACCGACCAAGATTTGCTTGACATGTTTGCAAAACATAATGCTTCCAAGTGTTGTTTCCTGACTTTTGGTTACCACAGCCCCAGTACGGAGCCTCCTGAAATTCCTTCTTGGGATTTTAGCAGTTCTAGGCAGTTTGTTGAGAACCCCTTCACTGCCTTGTCCTAGCATTGCACAACCAAACCATACCTAGAGTGAATTGTAGATGATGAATACCTGGCTAACCCATACCCATCCAATGAGCATGTGGGTGTTGATGAGAAAGGGTTGTATATAGACCTTGGTCCTCAACATCCACCACCTCCAAAACCTCAGAGTCAAAGTTGCAGCAAACAAAGGGATGGTGAAGGATCTGATGCAGATACATACTATGAAACAGACAGTGATGATGAATCTGTGTCTGATGATGATGATGATTATAAAATAGAGAATGTAGATGACATTGTTAAAGATAATGAGCTTGACCATATGCCTGATGTTGAGTATGACAAGAAGGATCCTCCTATGACAGTAGGCAGTGTGTATAGAGACATGTATGTATTTAAGCTGGCTTTAGCTCCACATGCTGTCAAACATGAGTTTCATTATGACATTGAAAAGAGTGACACGGGAAGGTACATAGTTTACTGCTATGGGAGTACTGAGGGCTGCAGGTGAAAAATTCATACCTCAACCATCAAGGATGATGAATCAATTAAGATAATCTGTTAGTTTTGAATTTGTATGCTTTTTATCTATCAGTTGTTTTTCAGATAGAGGCATTTTATTTTTATGTCATTTGCAGGTGAAGAGGAACCCATATCCCCATACCTGTCAAAGCAAAAGGTCTGGCGTATGTAAAGGGGTTACATAGTTTTGGGTCTGTGAACAAGTGATTGACTGGTTGAAAGAAGATGCAACTGTTGGTGCTACTGAACTCCAAATGAGGCTAAAGGATGAGTACAAAATCTTGATACCGTTCAGGAGGGTGTGGAATTGTAAGAATCTTGCATTGGATAAATTGTATGGCCCTAGAATAAAAGCTTTGATAATCTGTATAGATTCAAGGCCCAGCTAGATGAAACATGTCTTGGTTCATTTGTTCTGGTTGATCACCACACCATCAACAAGAAGATTAGGAGGTTTAATAGTTTTTTTTAGCCCTGAAACCATATGTTGATGGCTTCCTTAAAGGTTGTATGCCATCTTTGGCAGTAGATAGCACTTTCTTGTGTGGAAAGTTCAGGGGCCAGTTGTGCATTGCTTGTGCAGTTGATGCGCACAACTAGATGTACCCAGTAGCAATAAGTGTCATTGATTCTAAAACAAATGAAAATTGGGTTTGGTTTATGGAGAGGTTGAAGGAAGCAATAGGCACCCCACCTAGTCTGATATTTTGCACAGACTGTGGTCAGGCAGTAATACATGGTGTTAGTGAGGTCTTTCCATATGTTGAACATAGAGAGTGCTTGTGGCATTTAGTTCAAACTTTTAAGAAAAGGTTCAGTGATAAAATTTTTGATGATCACCTATGGATATCTACCTACTCTTGGAGAAAATACATGTTTGAGAAACACTACTAGGCCATGGCTGTAGCCAAACCCGAGGCAATGAAGTTCATGCAACAGAATCACAAGTTGCTATGGACCAGAAGTCAGTTTGGCATAGATTCCAAGATGAATTATGTAACCAATAATATGGCTGAGTCCTTCAATAACTGGATCAAGACAGAGAAGGCCAAGCACATTGATGATTTAATGGATACCATAAGGCAGAAGCTGTTGATTAAATGTAATACTAGGAAAAAGATGGATAAAAAGTTTATAGAGAATATTCTACCTCATGTTATGCAGCAGTTGAGAGAAGACAGCTTCAACCTAGACACTAAGGTCATCACAGAACATGATGGAGTTGCTGAAGTTTGTGCTAAGGGGGGATTAGATTCAGATTTGTTATGAACTTAAGAAACATGACATGTTCCTATAGGGCTTGGCAAGGGTCAGGAATACCATACAAGCATGCAATTACCTACATAACATCTATACTTGATGAAAAGCTAGAAGACCATATGGATGAATTGGATGAATGCTATTCTATGGCCAAATTCAAAGCTGCATATGAAGGTGACTTCCCATCCATTCCTGACAAGTCTATGTAGCCTGATGCCACACATAAATTCTTCATGCATCCTCCCTTACTTAAGTCCACAATTGGTAGAAGAAAGAACAGGTACAAAGGGGCAGTTGAAGAAGGTAGCAGGAAGAAATCGAATAGGCATGAGTGTCCAATATGCCATGAGTTAGGGCACCACTGATACACCTGCAAGAATGGGAGTCCAGCAGACATAGCTGCAATGGAGGCTGACAGGTGAACTTCTCTCAGTTATATTTTTCATATATAATATGAACGACATTAAATAATCTAACATAACTAAAATTTTACCTGCAGGGGTCTGTCAAAAAAAAGGTAGAAAAAAGCAGCTAAAGCTAACATAGAAACAAGCATTGTTGTGGCCACAGGGATGATGTTCCCTCCCAATGAGACAGTGGAGAATGCTGTACACAAGAAAAGAAATAGAAAATCCTCTTCTTCATCATCTGTCTCCAAATCTATGGGAGCAGCAACAAGTACTTCAGTCTCTACTACTACTCATTTCTCTAGCAGGTATGCCACTTCTCCATTTCTTTCTAATTTTTTGCAATGCCAATAGCCCACACTAAACTTCATGTTTCATGTACCACAAGATCTAAAACTGGATCCAATGAACCAATTCCTATTCAAGTTGTGCACTTTGCCCCTTATAATGAAGATGCTTCAGTTCAGCATGAGCCACAAGAAGCTTCAACTGCTACAGTTCATACACAAGGAGAAAGAATAGATTGAAGAAGAAGTTTACACAAAGAAAGATGTGTCTGCCACTCCAACTAGGGAAACAAGCAGCAAGGCTCTAGCTGACCCTTCCAGCCCAGCTGCAAATACCAGAAGTAAGAAGCAACTACTGCTGGAATGAACACAGTGACTCCACCATGTTGTTTTGATGATGCATTGGTGCTATACTCCTGGAGAACATCTTGGCTTTTGTGGCATGAAATCATTTGAATGGTATGAAATGCTGATATAATGGAGTTGTAATATTTTGCATGATCAGGACATGTAGTTTATGGTACTTGCTCTGGACAAACTACTAATTTTAGATGAAATTATGGTTTATGGTTTGCATGTTGGTGAACAATCTGAACCATGAGCACTACTTATGTTTGTAATATATTAAGGTTTGCATGTTGGTGAATGAACAATATGAGAATTTTATATTTCTGGACTGCATTCATCCATCATCTTTGACTCATTCATTCATTGATTTAAGCATGCAAACACAGTGACACACACATATATAGGACCCTACTTCTTCATAATTGCATACAAGATAAGGAAAATAGCAATAAAGACCAGTTTCTCAATCTATCTGAGCTGCTGCATAACCCTATCTTGCAGCACTCCTCCACCAGCCTAACCACCATCGTGGAAGAGAGTCATTGGAGAGGAAACTGAGTGGAGAGAGAACTGAGTGGGGAAGGGACCTCAGTGCTGTCTATTTATAGGAGCCACCTAATGAGAGTTTTTGACGCCAAAGGCCTATTAGATTGGCGCCAAAACACCATCAGATAGCCTCTTCTTCCTGAGGGCATGCTTGTCTTTTTCCCCATCCGTTAGCATCCGTTAGCCACAGATGAAAAATAAGCGGTGCATTTGGAAGAATGACGTCAGGTGAACATTATTTCACATATATGGCCAACTTTTTTAATTTGGACGGAATGGCTTTTTACGGTCAACTTTTTACAAACTTTTTAACGGGTAAAAGGCTCAAGGGTTTTTGCCTGCTGACCCGGTGCCACGCGAACAGGCGCAGTGCGAGGCCGGAAAGTAACTGGGCCTCTGAGCGGAATGATGGGCTTTTTGCAATCCGGGCTGATGAAGCCGGCCTTATATTGCTCATAAAGCCCAGACTCGCGGGCCGTTTTTTTTCTGGGCTGCCTGTGCCGTGACCGTGCCACGCAGTCGTCGTTGCTTGCTCGATCCGAGAGCACCCCCGCTGGCCGCCGCTTTTCAACAGCCGACCCTGAAGGTCCCAAGCGCGCGAAAACCGAAACCATGCCAGACGCAGCCGCGTGCTCGCACGCGTGTCGTTCCTGGGCTCGTTGACATGCCATACGTGCCTCGCCGTCGTTCCACGTGTAAAAAGCACACACCACGCCTACACCTTTGGTAGCTTCTACAACTATCGGCGGCCGCGATTTTAAGCTGTTTGCCACGGCGGAGCACACTACAGTGAAGAGAGTGCTCGCTGCTATACTCGCAACCGCAAGATAGCTCACTGAATCGTGCTACAACCAAGCTGATGCGTGCTCACCAAATGCGACACAAACACGTCGCCGCCATGATGAACGTCGTGGCCATCGGGCTCGTCCTCTCCACTCTGGCGGCCGCGGGGGTCTGGTCCCGCGCGCCGCCGCCGCCGCCCGCGGCCCCGCATCACGGCGACCACGTCGTCCGAGAGGGCCGACGCGTGGTCATCGTGGAGTACGAGCGCGAGCTCCCGCTCTCGACCGAGGACGGCGGCAGCGTCAAGGTCAAGGAGACGCGCGTCCTGCCCCCGGACGCGCTCGACGGCGTCGAGGGCGACGGCGGGGTGTTCGACGAGGCCCTCGGCGCGGTCAAGCGGTGCAAGGATAGACTCTGCGGCGCCGGCAGGAAAGTGGAAGAGGGAGCCAAGGAGGCGGCGTCCCTCGTCGAGCACGGCGCGGAGGACGCGGCGAAGGGCGCCAAGGAGGCGGTCTGGGATGCCAAGGACAGCGCCGAGAACATGGCGTTCGACGCCGCGCAGAAGGGTAAGGAGGCGATGAAGAGCGCCAAGGACAAGGCGTCGGAGGCCGCACAGCAGGGGAAAGAGGCCGTGCGGAGCGCGAAGGACAAGGCGTCCGAAGCTGCGCATGAGGGGAAGGAGACCGTGACGAGCGCCAAGGACAAGGTCTCCGAAGCCGCCGGCAAAGCGAAGGAGAAGGCGTCCGACATCCAGCACGGAGCATCCGAAGCGACGAAGGCGGCCAAGGAGAGGGTGTCCGAGGCGGCCAGGCACGCCAAGGACACCGTCCGGAGCGCCAGGGACAGCGTCTCCGACATCGCGCAGAGAGCCGAGGAGCGCGCGGAGGACGCCGCGGAGCGCGCGGCGGACAGGGCCGCGGAGGCCGAGGAGGAAGTGAAGGCGCGGGCCGCCGAGGTGGGCAAGAACCTGACGGACATCGCGCGGCGGGCGCGCGACGTGGCGTCCGACGCGGCCGCGTACCTCCTCGGCGCGACTGCCGTGATGCACCTCCTGGGCTTCGCCACCGCCTACGGCGCCAGCGTGTGGGTGACGTTCGTGTCCAGCCACGTGCTGGCCGCCGCGCTGCCGCGGCAGCAGCTGGGCATGCTGCAGAGCAAGCTGTTCCCGGTGTACTTCCGCGCCATGGCCTACGGCGTCGGGCTGGCGCTCGCCGCGCACCTGCTGGGGCGCGAGCGCAGGTCCGTCGCGTCGCGCGCGCAGAGCTTCAACCTGCTCGCCGCGCTCGGCCTCGTGCTCGCCAACATGCTGCTGCTGGAGCCGAAAGCTACCAAAGTAAGTTGCTCTCCTGACCTCCTCCTGTCGTATACGTATGTTGCAATTCTCACCGCATCATATCTATATACTCGCAGGTGATGTTTGAGAGGATGAAAGTGGAGAAGGAAGAAGGCCGGGGACGTGACATGGTGGACGACATCGTCGACCCACCGGTGGTGACCGTGGCCACGCCGACCGCCGCCACCACCACCACCGTCCCCACGGCGGCGGCCACAGCGCGCACAGGCACAGCTCCCGTGGACGGCGCGGGGACCGGCGGCAAGCAAGCGAAGCCGGCGACGGCAGCAGCCGACGCGGAGATGTCGAAGAGCAGGGCGGTGACGCTGAGCAGGCGGCTGAAGCAGCTCAACGGCTACTCGTCCCTGTGCAACGTGCTGTCCCTGATGTCCCTCACCTGGCACCTCGTGCACCTGGCGCGCCGCCTGCACGCGGGCACCGCCTGCTAGGTTGATGATGAAATGGGGCTCATGGCTGCTGTCATCCTGAGGAGCTCGCTTCGCGGTCTCTCGAAAGAGTACTTGGTTTGGTTTCTGATGTGAACTTGACACGTTGGCGATGTTCCCGTAGTTTAGGCTTCGGTTTGTGTTCGGCTAGTGGCTGTTTCGGTTGTTTGGGAAGTAAAGGGTTAGTGTGTATTCCCTTTGTCCCGGTTTATTTGTCGTCGGAGTCTCAACATCAGATATCAAGATGGCCAAAGACACTGATATCCCTACATACTAATCATTTCTCATCAGAGTCTCAACACCAGATACCAAGGAGAGTGGCCAAAGATATTGATATCCCTACATACTAATCATTTCTCAACTATGAATTTAGATGCACATGCCATCAATGTCATCCACCACATCATTTTTTAAAACAAACAAATTAGCATTGGCATCCATCTTTTCACATTTAAACATGTTGTACAGTGATTTTTCTCTTAAAAAATCAATGCTGACAACGAAAAAATACATTTTGCTCAACAGCAAACACCACTTAGCATCAAATTTACAGCCAAAACAAATTGAAACTTCAAACCATTGCCACAAAAACCACTTAGCGCCAATTTTACACACTGAAACTTCAAACTATTGCCACCAGCGCCATTTCTTGACCATATACTAGGAAATAAAAGCCTGGTGACCCTCTCGTTGCCTTCATTTGAACCTTCACCTCTTATCCATCTTTCATGCTAGACTTAAACACACTACCAGATGAGACTACCAGATGAGGGAGGAGAGAAGGTGCCTGATCTCAACAAGATTCTTGACGGACATGAAGAGGATCAAGATGTAGTGGCTGTAGATGAAGTTTGGGGAGCTGGCCACTTTGGTCTCCATCCAGATCAAAATGATGAACAAGCAGAAATTCATCAAGGTAAGCACATCTGTTTGTACCCAAAACTTGAACTAGTTCATCTCTCTCCCCCTCTCCCTCTCCCTCTCCCCCTCCCTCTCTCTCTCTCTCTCTCTCTCTCTCTCTATGCTCTTGTTTATTTTTTGGTTCTAAAATCAGAAGCAACATCATGTTACTTAGTTATTGCTACTATTTTCTCACCAGAAACTCTTATGTACCAGGTGTTCTCTATAGTCTCTCTCTCCTAAATTAGTAAATGGTGCTTTAGTATACGCCCATGTGCTCCCTTGCCGCCTGCCATCGAAGGATCGCCTGTAGCACAAGAAGGCAGTCTTGTTAATCAAAACAGCACCAGTTCAGCAATAGGTTTATGAGCATGATAGCAGCTGAGCGACTATTTTCCTAAATGTTAGATGCAGATGTCACTCTAATACGAACTAGTAGTACTAAGCAATCCACCCACACAAAAATGAATGAGTCTTTTACTTGTATGCCATTAAAAAAGATGATCTAATCGTCTATGTCCATAAAAAGTTCGATCTATCGTCAGTGTCCAAGCTCGAAAAACTTTTCTCTCTCATGCCATTATATCCGCCTTCTGTTTGATTTGCGCCGTTTGGCTGTCCTAACGAGTGGGGTCCGCTGTGGCAAATGACCTCAGTTGTCCCTTGCCGTTGGAATTAGAGGTGGAGGCCGTGTTGACCGGTATTGACCGCTCTCACTCTCCTCATCTGGCTCGACTCCTCCGCTCCCTCCGCTCGACTCCTCCGCTCCCTCCTCTATCCCATCACCAAAACCCAAACCCTAGCAGCGATTGTGGGCGGTGGCGTCGGGCGACTGAGCGTCAGCGGGCTGCGACGGCTGAGGGGAGACAAGAATCCCATCCCTGGTTGCGGCGGGGCATGGGATAGTGGAGCAAGGGAGGTACCGTGGGCAGCCTGGATTGGCGGCGCATGGCGGCGAACATGGCGGCGGCCTAGCGCCCTTCATGGTTTCAAGACGGGTGAGTTCCTCTTCTCCTTTGCTTGCTTGTTCGTGGTGATTGTGGAGAGCTAGGATTGTTGTTGCTTGCTCTTGCTAGTTTGTTTCCCCTTTGTGATTGTTGTTGTTCATCTGTAGGATGGACCCAATTAGTAGCTACAATCTAGAGTTTGGATTATTCTTGAAAATATGCGTGGGGGAAGTGGTATGGCGTGAGTGAAGTTGTGGATCTTGATCGTGCAAACTATGTAAATGTGGTTGAAGGTATTGTGGATAAGTATCACGGGCGCTATGGGGATACTTACGGTGTGTGTTTTCTTGGTGCCATGACACAAAGATGAACATCCCCCTCACCAATGACCATGACTTAGTTGAAATGTTTGCCAAAAATAAAGCTTACAAGTGTTGTTGGATGAGTTTAGCCTACTATAAACCCAACACTGTGCCTCCTGTCATCCCTTCTTGGGATCCAATTACTGAGCAATCTATTGAACCACCCATCACTCCTTCAATGGCCACTCCTTCCATTGTCACTCCTTTCATTGCCTGTCCTTCTAATGCACCTCCTAGCATTGCAGAATCAACCCAGACACAGAGCACAACATGTGCAGATGATGACATTCTGGCAAACCCAAACCTAGAGAATGAGCATATGGGTGTTGATGATGAAGGTTTGTACCTTGACCTTCCACCACCTCCAAAGCCACAGCAACCAACACCTCCAGAAGATCAGATCCAAACTGCCACCACTGAAAGGTGTCCAAGTCCAAAGCCAGCTGAATCTGAAACTGAGAGTGATAGTCCAAAGCCAGCTGAATCTAAAACTGAGAGTGATGCTAGTTCAGGGTCTGATGATGAGTTTGATCCTAAAATGGACCCTGATGAGGCAGATGAAATGGTTAAGGACCATGAGCCTAACTACATGGCACCTCTTGAGTATGACAAAAGAGCCCCCCATGTGTGTTGGAAGCATGTATCCAGACATGTTTGAATTTAAGATGGCTTTAGCTACTCATGCTGCAATAAAAGAGAATCGATATTTTATTCAGAAGAGTGATACATGAAGGTACCGAGTGTACTGCCTCCGGAGGAATGAAGGTTGCCCTTGGAGAATCCATACATCAACCATGAGAGATGGCAAAACAATTCAGGTGATTTCCTCTTCTAAGTTCTAATTGGTGCTTCCATTGTTATATATTCAAACTTGGTGTTTTCATTGATGTTTGCATGTTGTTTTTATTGGTAGGTTAAGAAGAATCCATCTATCCATGAATGTTAGAGCCAGAAAAGGACTGGTGTTCCTGTAGGCTGCACCAAGTATTGGGTTTGTGAGAGAGTTATTGACTGGCTGAAAGAAGATGGGACTTTGGGTACTACTGAGTTGATTAAGAAACTCAAGGATCATTTCAAAGTGGAGATGCCCTACTTGAGAGTGTACTATGGTAAGAACCTTGCTATGGACAAGCTTTATGGGCCATGGGACAAGAGTTTTGACAACCTGTACAGATTCAAGGCATAGATAGAGAGTGAGAGTCCTAGGTCAATGGTTGTGATTGATAACCACATAATAAATAACAAGCTCAGGTTCAACAGGCTTTTTTTTCAATGAAGGCTTGTGTTGATGGATTCCTTAGTGGTTGTAGGCCCTATTTGGCAATAGATAGCACTTTCTTGTATGGTAGGTTCAGGGGCCAGTTGTGCATAGCATGTGCAGTTGATGGACACAACTGGATGTATCCGGTTGCTGTTGGTGTCATAGATTCAGAAACCAATGAGAACTGGGTGTGGTTTATGGAGAGGCTGAAAGAAGCAATAGGCACCCCAGATGGTCTCTGCATAAGCACAGACTGTGGACAGACAGTGATGCATGGGGTTAGTGAGGTTTTTCCAGAAGTAGAACATAGAGAGTGCATGTACCACCTTGTACAGAATTTTAAGAAGAGATACAATGGCAAAAAATTTTATGATCATCTTTGGGCAGCTTCTTATTCTTGGTCTGAGTACTAGTTTGACATCCATTATAATGCAATGGCTAAAGCCAAACTAGAGGCTATGAAGTATCTGTTATAGACTCACAAGAAGTTGTGGACTAGGAGCCAGTACCTATTTGGCAGTAAGGTTGACTATGTAACAAACAACTTGGCAGAGTCCTTCAACAAGTGGTTAAAGAAAGACAAAGGCAAGCACCTTGATGACTTGCTGGATACTTTTAGGCAGAAGTTGTTGATTAAATGGAATATGAGAAAAAAAGTTGCAAACAAGTTTGAAGGGAAGATCCTACCTCACATTGTTAAGAAGTTGAGGGAGGATAGCTACAACTTAGACATTGATGTCATTACTGAAAGTGATGGAGTTGCAGAAGTATGTGCCAAGGGGAGCAGTGATAATGCATTTAGGTTTGTGGTGAACTTAAGACATAGGACATGTGTATGCAGAGTGTGGCAAGGGACTGGATTACCTTGTAGCCAACACAGAGACAAGCATTGTTGTTGCTAGACAACCTGTTGGGATGGTTTACCCACCAAATGAGGCTGTGGATAATGCAGTACCCCAGAAAAGGAAGAGGAAGACTTCATCTGCATCAAGTGTCAAGAAAAGCAAGGCCTCATCTACAAGTGCATCAGCTTCAACTGGCAGGTATGGTTGTATGCATCTTTTTCATTTCATCTTTTTCATTTCATTGGTACTACTTTGTGACTGTTTGTTTACTTCATGAAGATTTGGAACTGGATCCAATGAACCTGTTCCTCTCCAAGCAACAGGCAGTGCCACAGTGATGGCACCACTGAAGGAGCAGGAGTCTGTCCAGGTTGCCAGTCCTCCAAGGAAGAAAATTGCTGTCAAGAAGAAGCTTACACCATGGAAGGATGTATGCCGGGTTGCAGTTGACCCTTCCAGCCCAGCTACAAATACCAGAGGCAAGAAGAACCTACAGCTTGGTTAAAGCACAGGTGACTCCTCAATGGCCTTTTGCTTGGTAAACCTGAGAACATGTTGGTGATGAAAACTTGTCTTTTTGTGGGATGAAAACTTGTTGGAAAACTTGGTTAAAGCACAGGTTTTTGCTTTGTTGAAAACCTAAGACAATGTTTGTGATGTGATGATTTCCTGTGATGTAATGTTGGTG